CATTCCAAAATTTTAATTTTAAACACATTCAAACCTGCTTGAGGAGCATAAGCAATTATAATATTAATAATCTTAGCATTAATAATAATCTTCAAAAAAATAATTATATCTCCAATTCTATCAATTTTTATAATATTATCATTCAAACTCTTTATCTATAATCACACATACACCATTTCTAGTACGACTTCTACCAGAATGCCAAAGTTTAAATCATAAACTATCAATCTCCTTAGCATTCTCTTCAACCTATTTGGTTTCCTGAATGCACAAAATATTTATCTTCCTATGAATCATAATATTTATTAATTTCATTATGCTCATAAGGGAACCTATATTCCATGTTCATATCCTAATTCTTGTTTAATGAACTAGCTTATTTGCCCACATTCGTCCACGATGTGGAAACCCTTGCCTATTTTTAACACTGGACTCGGGCGTCAATGCAGCAGCCCTTGCACACTTCTCGTTATATTAAGGCTATACAGCGAGAAAAATTTTCATCATGTGGTAGAAATAATTTTATCTAAATTTATTACTATATAACTCCTATTGAATGCAGTAAATATTACTTTTGCAAATTATAATTATTATCAAATAAGAATTGTCATATACATATATATATATATAATACTTTATTATATTAAATATATAATACTTGTTGAAAATATGCATAAGTCGATAAAAACCCTTTCGAATCTTGGCTAGTCGAGCTAATAGGATTATAGACTGATTATGTACTTTATCATTTTAATTATATCAAAATTAGATAAACTATAAAAGATATATGAGAATAAAAATTATTGTTTTGCTAAAAAAATAAATAATAATTAGTTTTTGTTATCTCCCTCTTTCTATCTCTATCTCTACCTCTGTCTATATATAAAAGCTATAAATTAGCTCTTTCATTGAAAAATAAGTAAAAGGTGGAACATAGTTAATTTTTAGCATTTGTCATATTGAATATATAATACTAGTTGAAAATATGCATGTCCATAAAAACTCTTTTGAATATCGGCTAGTTGGGCTAACATGCTCATAGATTGATAACTCTATAGGAAAACATTATATTACCTTAGGTTAGTGTTTGATGTAGGCAGGGGGGGGTCAACTCAAACCTAAAATAAGTTGGATTTGACTTCCCTTGAGCTTTCTTTCTCAAACAAATTTGAGCTGAAATTTAGCTCATTTATGAGCTGATTTTTAGTTCATTATTAGCTAAGTTTTAGTTCATAGTTATCTTTTTATTATAGTTTTTTATGTCTTAATTTAAGTTGTCTCTTGGGATTCCAAAATGGCTTTTGAAATCCCAAGGAAGTTTGTTTTCCCATGCCATGGCTCCTTGGCTTCCACGAGTGGCTGATTCCGTGCATGGGCTCCTTCGTTCTCACGGTGGCTGCTTGTTTTCCGAACTGGGGGCTCTTCCCATGGCTTTTGGCGCCTCGATTCCGTGCGGCCTCTTGGGTTCCCGTGGTTGCTTCTTCGGTTCCTGGGCTGGGCTATTTTTCCGTGAAAAGCAATGGGTTTTTTCATGGCTTGTGTTGCTTAGATTCTTCTAGGAATTCAATGTTGTGTCTTTTTGTATTCCCCCTTTCATACCTATAAATATGAGGGGTTCTGTATTGTTTTAAGAAGTGAATGATAAGTTATTCTTGGAAAAGAAATCTGTAGATTTTCTTGGAGAAGCTTGCAAGCTTTGTCCACCTTCTTCTTCTCATCCCCTTTGGAAATCTTGCAAGCTCTTTCCACCCTTCTTCTAGGGCTTCTAATCTCTTTCGTCTCTCTGCAAGTTTACACAACACCTGTATCCTTCGTCTCTAATTGAAGCAAGTTTAGGGTGTCTTTAATTTCGATTCGAGTTTGTAAGTAGGTTAATTACAATTTGTTGTTGTCAGTTTATTTTTTAATTTCTAAAGTTTGTTTTAGAATTGAAATATAAGAGTTTGCTCGTCTCATTTCGAGCCTGTAGTGGCTCCCTTAGGTCCTTTGTGGGCGGAGGTCCTCGGGTCCCCCATCCCCCGGATTTTTGCCCGCATCAGTGTTTTGCCTTCTCTATTCGGGATATCTTGATAAAAATAGATTATAGATTATGTAAATTGATACAAATTGAAAATGATGAATGATTGATGAGTCATATTCTTAGAGATATGATAATACCTATATATATACACACATTTGTCATGACCATTATCAAACTATATTTGAAATATAAGCTATATTTCATCTATGAGTTGATGATCCAGATTACCTACTGTTATAAAGTTATTCGTGCCCTTTTTATTAATCATGATGCATGCCCTAGTGCGTTGTCGTTTATGTTTTAATATATTATAATTATTTGTTGGGTTTGAATTTTCAAATACACTTGTTATGATCATAACAAGTTTTAATAGAGTGCTTGTTAAACCATCACCACAAGAGCAAACTTATCAATAGTAGAATCTCCTTTGGAAACTTAAAATTTTGAAGTTATTTCTTTCAATTTTTGTTTTCATTTATTATTGTTCCTATTTCATTTACATACCATCATTATAATTTATAGTAATGAAATAAAATTTAGTTTATCCTTAATTGCTTACTCTAATACATTCTATTTATATTATTTGTATATAAACTTTTTTTGCAAGTACAAAATGAGTTTTTATATCTTTCATCACGTCCCATATTACCGATGTGCACTGCCTTTTGAACCAATGTGTGACATAACCTATGTTGCACCGATACACTTATTTATGAAGGTGTGTTGTATCCGATACACCGTACACGGAGACGCCTCTGATACGGCACCAATACATGTCGGATACGACTTTGCCGTATCCAATTAAAATACTATTTAATTTCAAAAGGACACGCGTATTCGATACGAGTGTACGTTAAAAAACAAAAAAAAAATCCGAAAAAAAATCCTTCATATTTATTTTCGCGAGTGCGAGCGAGGTTCTCTCATTTTCGAGATGGATTTGAGTCTCTTGATGATATGAGAATATTAGACATTGCTAATCTTTCACTTGATGGGACTGAATTAAAAGCAATGATATTTATTGAAGATGATATAGAAGTTCAAAAACAAACCACTGAAGAAGCTAATCAAATCATTCCTTCTATTGAATAGTTGAAAATTCACGTAATAGATAATCTATGTTTATGCTTTTGTTGTTGCACTAGAGATTTAATGCTTACTTTTATTTTGATATTATAAGCTACAAGGCTATAAATGATGTTACTTTCATTTTTATGTAATTTCAAATTTTATGCTTTGATTGTTTTCCTAATTTTTACGTATGATTTATAAATTATAATGTCATGTCCGCGCTGTACCCGTATCCAATATTTTTAAGAATTGACATCTCATATCTGTATCGTCTCGTATCCGTGTCGTCGTATCCATATCGGTGCAACATAGGACATAATGAAAGGACCAAAGTTAAGCAAGTCCCAAACATACCAAAGCAAAGGGTTTTCAATAAATAGCCTCATGCAAGACCAAGTATGAGGGATATATGATATTTACCCTTAATTATATATTATCTTAAGCCTAAGTTATCATTTTCTTGTGCAAGTAACTTCCACAACAACAATAACATCAAGCCTTTATCCCACTACGTGGGGTCGGCTACATAAATCCTCTTTCTTCATTGTGTCCTATTAAAAGTCAAATTATCATTTAAATCTAATAAAAAAAAGATCATTTCTAATATTTTCTAACTAAGTCTTTTTAGGTCTGCCTCTACCTTTCTTAACATAAGTCAAATCTAATACCTCTACTTTCCTAAACGGGTCATCGGAAGGCTTCTGCTTTATGTAACCAAACCATCTAAGGCGACTCTCTCTAATCTTATCTTCTACTGGAGCTACTTCAACCTTTTCATGTATATGCTCATTTTGTATCCTATCTCTACGAGTAAAGCCACTCATCCACCTGAGCATCCACATCTCTGTCACACTTAACTTAGTATTATGCTTCTCTTTAATGGCCAAAACATAAATAGATATCCTCACTAAGAAACTCAAAACCATTTTTGAAGAATGATATTCAGTAATCCTAAATCGTCAAGTGACTAAACCAAGTGGATGCAAATGAAGTTTACCAAACCAAGAACGAAGTAGCCAGCAATAAATAAATTTATCAAACTATTCCTCTAAACTGTATTTAACTAAACCCAAAACCTCAAATGCCTTGACAATACAATACCAAAACTAGTGGCTTATCTTCCCTACTGATCAAAAGGGGATGTACCTGCTGAAAAGGTACAAATTTCTACACTTCTCATAATTCCTATCATCATTCCATTTATTTTTTGAGAAAAAGATAATTTATTCACCTAAAATTCTTTGAGCTATCCCTATGACTAAAATGTGGATTTAGGACAGTATAACGGATATCCTTCTCATAAAATTAGAATTCATCTACACAACAATCTACAATCAACCACATGGAAAGTTCAGCCTGAGCAACTAGCCGCAACTCCCTATAATGACAAATAAGAATTGTTTTAATCACGATTCCTTTCTGAGAATCACAACCAGAGAAAGCTTAAAGACAAATAAGAATTGCAAATGAAAATTTATCTCTTCATGTTACCAGAAGAAAAGTTCTTGAAAAAAAAAAATCTTTGGATTCCAAATTTTGTAACTATTTTATCTAAAAACTTGATTGCATTTGTCAGTTGAAATAGTAAATCAAATACCTAAGCATTTTAATATAACATGGAATCTCATTATCTGCATTACTTAAAAATCAATCTCTATTAGTACTCTTTAACACTACATCAGGGTTTATGGATTGTACTATAGACAACGCCATTTAATCTAATGACCTATAAATATAAGTAATGTTGTTTCTAATAACTGTATTTGTACACAAATATGTTCATTCTTTGCTATAACATATGAAGAGCAAATTAATACACATTACATAAAATGAATAAGAATCTAATAAAGAAACTTATTATTAGCAAGTAAGTATAAGTTTTCAAACAGGGCAATAAAGGTATTCATACCCATCCATCTCTGGCATCTGGACATCCATGAAACAGGCATCGAATTCGTGAGACAATGGAAGTAGTGAAAGAGCTTCTTTACCGCTTTCAGCGCACTCAACTTTAGCTCCGTATTTTTTTAGAGCGGCGGCAGCCACTCTAAGATTTACCTTATTATCATCAACCACTAATATATTCTTCCCCGTTAGGAGGCTGCGAAGGAAAACAGCACCCTTAGGTAATTCTTTTCTCGGCTGGTTATCCATTCCAAGTACTTGCTGAAGGCATACTGCCACTGTGCTAGCTCTTAGAGGCTTTACAAAGACAATATCCACAAGAGATTCACCCTTTGCTTTATCACATTCAGAGATTCCCAAAAGAATCACCTTAGGCACTTCATGTATATGGTCTGCTTGCTTCCGCTCAAGAAAATGGTTAAGCAAGCAAACATCACTATTGTTCCAAGAATCTTTTTCAATAAACAAAACCTTCGGCAATTTCCTATATGAGCATAATGTTATGTTAATACGAGTACATGATCAAAAAGGAAACAAGAAATTCAAGTAAGCTGGACAAGAAAAAATTAAAAATCTTCCGTATTTGATGTACTACAAAAATTGCAAACCATTGAAAATATAATCATATGCAGAAGAGAATATTGCATTACTCAGCTAAGAACTAGATAAAATACCAGAGAAGTCGTATTAGAAGTCGCACAAAGCTTATTGCATAGTAAAAACAAGTAAACATTTGAAAGCACTTTTCACACAAACAACTTACCCGTTCCTCGAGCAACCATTTTGTCGATTTAAAGTACTAAGAGCCATCTTGGTATTTTTTGCAATTTCAACACTAATGCCAAGTCTATGGAGATGATACTTTGTCACAGCACTTCTGACAGACCTTTCATCAACTAAAAGTGCTTTGATTCCTTTGAAACAGGTAGGTAAATCCTCTGATAGAGATCTCTTTGGATCACCTCCTGCATTTACAGTACATCGTTGGAGGACAGCAGAAAAGGTAAATGTACTTCCAACATTGGGTTTGCTTATGAAATTGATTCGTCCACCCATTAGTTCAACTAGGCATTTACTTATGCTTAAGCCAATACCAGTTCCACCATAATTTCTGGATGTTGAGCTGTCGGCCTGCATGAAAGGAGTGAAAACACGTTCTTGGGCATGTAATGGGATTCCTATCCCAGTATCCTCTACACTTACAATCAAAGTAACACTTTCAGGATTCTTTTCGCATGGCCGTCCATTCAGAGAGACTGCAGCAAGAGATGCTTCATTTGAAAGTAATAGCTTGAAATTCTCCCAGCTGTTCCTATTATCAGCTGCTTTATATCCACTTAAAGTATTGAATGCTGTGCCACCGGACATTACCTCAAGTTCATCTACCTTTCCATTTGTGCTGGGGCACACCATGCCCTCAATTGGCATATTAGGATGCTCAGCCAAATGAACTTGGATGAATATGTGACCACGATCTGTAAACTGTTGCAGATAACGAATAATGCCATATTAGTAAATAAAGGAACAATTTGACAACTTTGCACTTGAAACTAAGGTTTCGTTTGGGACAGCTTTCTTACTGCTGCTTAAAGCAGCTTTCTAGTACAAAAAATTAGAAAGATGCTTTAAGAAGCGGTAAGAAAGCCGTCCCAAACGAAGTCTAAATGAACCATGCAAACTTTGCATGAATGCTAAGTTTTTGCTTAATTGAATTTCCAATAACAAGTCAAGCTCCAAAAGTCAAAACCCAATGAACTTGCAAATTCTAGATCAGAGGTAGGAAAGTAAAAAAGCCATGAACAAAAAAGGTTTTCTTACCTTTACTGAATTTCCAACAAGATTTGTAATTATTTGCCGAAATCTCCCTGGATCACCAGTTAGGACTTGAGGAACATTATCCGAGACAAATGCAGCAAGCTATATATTAAAAACGCCGCATTATTGTGTGAGTAAAGAAAATGCAGCAAAGATAGAGCATAAAGCAGTAACTAGATAAAAAACAGGTTGGACAAAAGGACATATAACAACAAGCATATATAAACAGAAATTACCAGATAGTTTTTCTAGTTGACCATGGTAAAGTAGATTACTAACCTCAATTCCCTTCTCCCTCGATTTTGCAGAAAACAAAGAGAGGACATCGTCAAGAATGGAGCGTAGGTCAAATGGTACGGATTCAATCTCTAACTTGCCAGCTTCAATTTTCGCCCGATCAAGAACCTCATTGATCAATGCTATTAATGCTTTCCCACACACTTGAGCAGTTTGGGCATAATCTTTTTGAGTTAAATTCAAATCCGTATCTAAAAGCATATCCAACATACCTGGAACATAAAACACTTCTTTAAGAAAAGGTTTGCATGCCTTAGTAGAATATATGATATATTAACAATAGTGAAGCATACCAAGGACACCATTCATGGGTGTTCTGATCTCATGAGAAACAGTTGCAAGAAACTGCAAACAAGAAAGAAGGCAGAACACCATAAGATCCAGATAAAATTGGTATGATGACCTCACATAAAGATAAAATTTCAAACCTGAGACTTTGCTACATCAGCGGCTTCAGCTTGAACTTTAAGCTCTTCCATCTTTCGACAATCCTCCATAACCATAACATAGCGCTTCTGAGCAGCATACAATATATAGGCTACTAACATTAAGATCACAACCATACCAGAAGGGGAGGTGATTGCTGACCATGGGATGGGAGGCTTCTGGCTATAACTGCCAATCACCAAATTTAAAAAATAATTCATTTTCTGCATAAATAATCTTGGTGAAAGACTAATGTACCGAACTTACCGGCACACCATTTGGTGCTTTCTGAATGGATCGCCAAAATCTAGCATACTCACACGAGACAACGGTTTATAACCTTCTGAATTTTGGGCTCCATACATAATCAAGGGATCAGAAATATTGGTAACATCATGCACATTTACTACTATATCCTGATTACCAGCAAGTTTCTTCAACAAATTTTCCACAAGTGACTCAACATCAAAAGCTCCACCAAGATATCTGTAAAACACAACCATAAACACAAAAATCAGGCCTGAAAAATAATATCTCTGCATCAAGAACAAATAACTGAACCAAAATAGCTTATAGAATTTGAGTATGAACTATAAGGATGATAACTATCCATTACAATCCAATTGCTGTTGATTTGGATAGGAAAATTTAGCCACACTCCAGAGTCAAAGGCAAAAATTCCAGGATAAATTTTTGCAAGCTTAATATCTCACCCAGCTGTAGCTTCTACACGATCTTCAATGGTTGCATCTGCAGGAATTCCCATTCGATAGACGGGAAATGTGAGAACTACACCAAGATGATTCGACTCCAGTAACCTAAAAGGGTTTGTAAGAACAGCTTTGCCAGTAGCTCTAGCCCTCAAGATATTCTCGCGATCTTCCTGCGGTGAAAAAAGCGACAATTAGAGACAAAAAACATAACAAAAACTAAATAATTAAGTCGAAGAGTAGAATAGAAAGCAACTCTTAGGACATACCTCTCCAGACATCATGTCCAGGACCTCAAGATATGAAACAGTTTCCTGGGAAAAAATAACAGGTGCATATTCATCTTGCTCAGGTGAAGGTTCCCGTTTCATGGTCTTGATGGTCCAACCTTGTTGACTCTCAAAATTTCCTCTATCAGAATGAAGGACTCGCTGTGCATATGCCACACCACTCAGAAGTGGCCGCTCAAATGCAGTCATTCCAGTGTAAAATGCAAATGTATCCTGAAGCATTCACATAGAGTAAAATAATCAGAACTAATCTAATGGGTGGGTTTGCTGAAAGTAGGATTTAGTAAATCCTGTAAATCTAGATTTAATAAATCTTGTGAGAATTGTAAACAAAAACAATTTAGTATGAGAGTTGTTGAATCCAATTAAAACCCAATAAAGCCTTTGGCATTTATTTTAGTATTTAAGGATGTATATGAAAGTGAGTTAGAGTTATTAGAATTATTATGTTATCATATTAATATTATCACAAATAATAAATATCAATTAAGAATATGTATTATTTATTATTACAATATATATAACATTATGGAAAATATTCTTTTTCATTACACTTTCCTTATTACTCCATTATCTTAACTTTATATAGACATGTTTATATAACATCATTATCATTCAAGTAAAGATGCAGTTTTTATGGCCTAAATCAACATTAATTTGACAAATAAAATCATAACTAGTAGAAAATATCATCCTAATTAATCATTAATTAGTAATTAACTAAGCTAATTAAACACTAACTTCTACTTAGTCAAACTATACAACAAATAATAAAAATTTGATTAAGCTATATATTTTTATTAATTAATATTAATTATTAAGGCCAAATTATTTTTAAATTAATGCATCTATATCTAATTCGTTTGGTTAAACATCAATAAAGTTAATCAATTAAGAATTTGTAATATTTATTATCACAATAATCCACATTATGGAGGATATTCTTTTTTATTAAACTCTTTACTCATTACTATTATCTTAACTTTATATAGACATGTTTATGCAAACATCATAATCATTCAAGTTAATTTTTATGGCCTTAATCGACATTTGTTTGACAAATAAAATCATAATTAGCATAAAATATCATCCTAATTAATCATAAATAAATAATTTACTAAGCTAATCAAACACTGACTTCTATTTAGTCAAACTAAATCACAAATAAAAATTTGATTAAGTTAATTATATTTTTAATTAATATTAACTATTAAGGCTGAATTATTTATTTATCTATATCTATGTTGTTTGATTAAGCGTAAAAAATTTTAATTAATATTTTATACAAATCATAATCAGATTAATAAAATCCTAATTAGCACAAGATAACATTCTAATTAATTACTAATTAGTAATTTATTAAGCTAATTAAATAATGATATCTTTTGTTAGTCAGATTAAATAAAAAGTACCAAAAATTAACATATATTTAATAGATTAATGCTATTTATTAAGGTTGACATGTTTAAAATACAAATTAAATCATTTTTAAATCATAAATTAATATTACTATTTTTGATTAACTAATATTTAATTAATTGCATGGATAGGAACAACAGCGTGTGAAGGAGAAGGGAACTGCATAATAAGAGCTCTTTTGGGGCAGACATCTACAGGCCAACAACATGTGAAGGAGAATGATAGTTTATGGTGAGATTTAGCTGGGAGGGCACCCTGCAAATTTAAGTTAAATCCAATAAAAAATGGGTTTTGGTAAATCCGGGATTTAAGCTTAAAAAGGGGCCATTTTTACTGTTCAGCAACCATTAAGTTAAATATAGCTTAAATCCTGCTCAAAACCTGCTACCAAACAGTCCTTAAAGTTCTTACTATATAAATCCCTGTAAATTAGAATACCACCACGATATCGTCATTAACCAAAGTTGGCAGATAAATAAAAGAAAAATCAACAAAATTTATGTTTAAAAAAAAAAACGTAAGCCGCATCTGACTGAGCAGCAAAAGAAAACAATGAGAAGGCAAGTTGACGAAAGAATTCCTACATCTCCATGGAAATAATAAGCGGACGAAGTAACGCATACAGGAAGGTAAAGATACTAGAAACATGACACCTCCGCATAAGCATCTTAATGACTGCAAAGCTTCATTTCAAGCGTATTAAACCTAAGAGAAAAAGAAGATCTTAACATCAAATTGGCACTGGAGCTTTCATTTAAAGGTCTTCTTCACAGCTGCCATGATTTATGCAGGGAACTGTAGGACCACCCCTGCAAACCTTTAAATAAATTGCCAAGAAAACCCAAAATAATCCCCGAAAAGATGAAATAGCCATAAAGACTTAATTTTGGTAATAAGAAACCATAAGATGCTAGGAAAAAGAAACTAACTTGATCCATGGCGCTCGGATTCTTCTGGTAATGGAAGGTGGAGATGAGAACAGCTAGGGCGTGGACATGGTTAACACTGACAGCGAACTGGTCCTGAAGCATTCTCGCCCTCTCATCGCACATATTGACCAAGGCCTCCTCAGCCGTCCTCATGGTCGATTCTAGATTGTACCAATGAATTGCCACCCAAACAGACACCATCAGCAGCATCCACAAAATCCATGCCGTCCATGTCTGCCACCATCGTTGCCTCGCCACAGGCATCTCCGTTCCCATGGCCCAAGAACTCTCAACGCCAATTCCCACTAATTCTTCTGTTATTTATTAATATATGTGTTGTTCACCTTCCTCTCTTCCCCACTCTTGTTGTTCCCAGCCGCATTGGCCTGTGTGCGAGATGAGAAAAAAGATAGAATAAAATAGGAAAGCGAGGATTACAGAGCGTGGGCGAAAGGCTTCTCAAAAGAAGGGAAATCTCACAAACTCCAATAGCAAAAGATGGAAGCAATGAAACAAGCAGAACCCCTTTCCCCCTTCCACAAATTAGATTTTTTTTCCCCAAAAAGACAACTTGGTCAGTGTAGAGAAGCACGATGGACCAAAACAGAGGAATCGATTAGAAGAAGACGGACGAGAAAGAGAGAGTCGAGGAAGAAACAGAGGAAGTGCTCGTCAACTGATGATATCTGCCACACCTCTCGTGCAGTGTATGTAGCTAGGGAAATATTCTCACAACTTTCTCTTCCCGAAGCAACTAAATAATAAACCTTGATATTTTAAGATACGCTGTCATTAAACAATTTTTCCTTCCAGTATTCTGTTATTCCCCCTCCTCTTGTCCCCCTTCTTCCACCTTTATCACATCAAATATTTTCTGATCACGACGAACTCTTTCCCACCTCCCTCACACAAATGGATCGAAACAACAAAAAGCAAACAATACAGGAAGCAGATATAAACTAGCAAAAGCTGATATCTTTCTGGTTTCAGCTCGTCGAACCAAATCACAAATGTTAGCCAACAGCTGCCTAATCAGCTCTCAACTTCGCCGGAGAAACAACAGGCTGAAAAGACGGTTGAATCAGCACCGAGAATTTAGGGTTAGGGCTTCGTCTCAGGTACGAGACGCTGCAGATGAGCCCAAAAGAAATCGCTCCCCGAGATCTTTTCGACAGCGACGACTGACAAAGAGTGAAACGAACCCTTCACATGCGGGAAGAAGTGGATCTACTGAAATTACTTTATGCCCTTCGTACTCATGGCGTTTTTAATGACGCAATTGGACCGATTGAAGGGCAATCTAGTCATTCCGAAAAGAACAAGGAGATTAACGGGCGAGATAGGCAGTTAGGGGTATTTTAGACTTTTGAAATCTGTGGCTACTGGAGAAAGAGTTCAGGGTTGACTGGGGCCCTACTTTCAATCACCATTTTACATTTTTACCCTTGTGATTTTGTAAAAATTCTACCAGTGTCCGTTTTCCAGACGAAAGCGTGCTCTGACTCGGACCGCAGGTCGAGAGCTAGGTTATCGACCAGCTGGGCTGTCGGACCAAAAAGTTGGGGTTCGATGTTATTTGAGAAATAAAGTAGGGGCAATATTGTCCGTTACGCTAGCTGAGCTGGCCAGCCGAGTTTATTGAGTTTCAACTTCGAGCTAGCAGCATTTCAATCTTGTTAGATTATGGAGCTCAAATTTGATCCAAATAATAGCTCGATTCGATTACTCGTTAAGTGGCTTGATTAAGCACAGAAGAATGTGTTGCATCTATGCATGCAAGATGCGGAAGATGAAAGACGGACTAACGGACCGACTGACCGGCAAATCACTCACGTGCTCATTTTCATAGGCATGAACCGGGCTCGAACTCGTCTTTTGAGCTTGACTCGAGTTCGAGCTTGAAATTTGACTCACAAGTCGATCTCGAGTTAGATCTGATTCAAACTTGACTCTGCTCATCTCCACTTCTACTCAGGAGCTTAGGTTCCATATTTATGCATTTTTATAAAAATGTGCGTAAAATTGTGATTAAATTAACTTAAAGTGTCATTAATAAAATTTGACTGCCACACGGCAACTTTCGCTGGCGCCGGCAGTATTTAAAATTTGCATTAGATACTTAATAATTAATAATGAGTTCCAAAAAATTTTGATAATTAATGGGATTAGTGAGACGGCGCCCAAAAAAATTTTGTAATTGAAAAAAATAACTTAAAAATATTTTGATAAAATTCACGGTATTTAATTTTATATTAAATTTAATATAATTATACAATATTATTATTATATATAGCATTAATTTTAATTTTAATTTTAAAAAATAATATAAACGTTATTCTCCTTAATTTGGGAATTGTAATAGGGGGAATATTTTCTAAATAAATATTTTTAAAATATTTAAAAAAGTTCGGAGCAGTTATTTAAAGGTAAATTCGTTCTGATCTTATATATTTTTGTATTTAAATGTTTGTACTATTAGAGTGCCTTAATTTTGTGAAAGATTTATTTAGATGAGCAAATTTTGTTAGATTCTTAATGAGGAAAGTGCTAAGCACAAAGAAAAAAACTTCAGCCATTGATTGTAGCATAAGCTTGGTTTTCATTAAAGATCTATTTGAACCATTTTATTTTTATTTTATTCTTTTAAATACATTTCTTTAAAAAAATTTTTTTTACTAAAATTAACTTTTTTAAAAAAAAATAGTGAAATTTTTTTCTTTCAAATATAAATAGAAGCAATCGAAAAATAGTTCCAAACAAAACATAAATGCTTGAAGTAGAGTTACTATTCTAACTTTGTTTTAATCTAAAAATACAAAATTCATATTTTGATATATATAAATATGCGAGAATTATGTGGTATAAATATAAATCCCTCAATTTTTCTTTTAATGTTGAAAGCCATAAAATGTATTCCTTGATTTCATGATTTTGGATAATTAATATTTTTAATCATTATGTCACATATTGTCTCACAATAAATAATTTAAATTTAATTTATATAACTAATATTTTTTATTTTTCAAAATTTACTATATATATTCATTTTAAAAATACACGTAATTTACAAATTAAAGAATGTCTACATATATATATATATATATCAAAAATTATAAAAATGAACAATTTTAGTCACATCACAAAATATTTGTGATTTTACTTTGAGTTTTTATGTTGTTAGTAAAGTTGTGAAAATTATGATAAGAATAGAATTAAGAAGATGGGATTTAGGGTACAATGTTAGATCAGGGTTTGAACCGGAATGATGTAATAAATATGAAAATTATTTGTTAAAAAATTAAATATAGAATAATCTTAACAATATAAATTATTATTAAAAAATAAATAAATTCACACATTTAATAATATATATATTTTAATTTTAATTAATTCAAATTTAACAAAAATTAGCTTACATATAAATTTAATATTAAATTATTATTATTTTAATTGTTATGTTTAAATATAATTTATACCTATAAATTATATATTAAATTATATTAGAAATTTACATTATAAATTATTAATATTAGATCATTATAATAGTACATAATTAATAAATGAAATATAAGTTATTTATATTATAATTAAAAAATATAAGCTTATACATGTCATAAAAGATTATTTAAAAAATCTATTTAAAATATATAATGCATGTGACAAACTTAAGAAAAACTTTAACTTATTTAGTCTCACATCACTTAAGTAACTCATCTTGATAATTCTTATACTTTATATTGCCTTTTAAGTTTTGATTGTGGTAAGAACTCACATAGAGTGATGGAAGCAATATAAAATGCTTAGTTGAAAAAATTTTATTTAAAAATAAGTATTTAATTTAAATTAAATTGTTGAATTTTAAATATACTTATATTATTATTAATATATTAAATTATTTATATATTAAAATTTGTGGAATTGAGCTAGCCGGTTCAAGAGAGCCAGGATCAGTTTGGTTGAACGCGCAATTCTGAATATTCATTCTAGTTAATACAAAACTGATTTTTAGGATGAAGTAGACTGGATTTTAGTTGGTTCAGCGATTGAATTAAGTTGGACCAACAGGTCTGATTCTATATTTTAAATCACGGTTATTAGCATGATGGACGAATTTAAAGGACAACATGACAGAGGATTTAATAATAATAGTGAGATTTATGAAAACATTCATTTTGTCCTCCTCTAAAATTTTGAAATTTTTTGTTAAAAATAAATTTATTTATAAATAATTAATTTGTGCCCCACCCAAAAAAACTCTAACTTCACCACTAATATTTAGAGTATATTTAATAATTTTAATAGTTAAAATACATAAATAAAATTAACTTCTTAAGAAGATTTGACTTGTCATTCAATATATTTTCTATATTTTTTATGATAATTTATTTCAAAAATTTGTGAAAATTATAATTTTGAATTGCATATAAATTTTAGGCAAACAAAAATTAAGAATAGCAATGCATTTTTACTATACATATTTAGCTAAATCTTAATGTAAAAATACATGAGTTTTAAGGATTATTTTGTTGGCTGAACAAAGATTATAATGTAAAAAGAACATAGTATAAAAGAAAGTTTTTCGTTTACTAGGATTAGTGTTAATAAATAAATGTAATAAATGTTTTTTTAAGTAAAATGAATGTAGTGCTCAGTGGTGGCTGATAGTTGTAGGCAACAATGGGTAACTATAGATAATAGTAGCATGCAATGATAGACAGTAGCGATGGGCGGCAGCTGGCAATCACAAGAGCTTATTTTAGTGAAAAGGATTTTTTTCTCAAAACTGAGCAAGTTTACTTTATCTTAAAAATAAGAAAGTTTATCTTACCTTTAAAAAAATTAAAATGCTTTACACTACATTTATTTTTCATCCAACCTAATTACAATATTTTTAAAACCCATAAAAAGGAATTATTTTGCATCCATTTTATTTCAAGCCAAACAACCCATTAATCTATTACAATATTTGAGAAAAACTAAGCTTCAACTACAATATTAGTAGGTATCATTATATGGCACCATATCTTCTTCTTCTTCTTCTTTTTCTACTTTTTAAAAGTAAGAAAATCTTTAATTCAAAGTTTTTAATTATTAAAAGGTCAATTTTAATAGCTTTTGAATGTTGATCATATATATTTAATATAATTTATAAGTATTTGAAATTAACTGGGAAATTTTGGCTTGATTGGAATATTTTAATGAAAATGCATTTTAATTTTTCTTTAAGTTAATAACTAAAATTAATTAATTTATCATTTTATTATGCTTCTTTTTTTAAAATAATATTATAAAAAACAATAAAAAAAAGCTTCTATTTAAAGGTGTCTTTAAATTAACAAATATAATTTATTTATTAAAAATATAATGGAGAGGTATTTATAATAAGAATAGCAATCCTGATTATAATTATTTTTGAAACAATTACTGAATATTGATGAATAAAAAATGAATTAGATAAAAATGATTTTTTTTTTCAAATTAGAAGAAGAAAACAATAACATTATTATTTTTCAAATAAAAAATGAATAACAATAATTTTTAGAAATATAGCACTAATAGAGTGCAATTAAATTAATCAAAGTTGACAATTTGGCGACACAATAATAATGTCGGTAAATCCACATCAAGCAAAATATTGCCAACAAAATACAGTAAACTTGTGTTATTTACAGTTGCTTAATATACATTTGCATTTTTTTTAAATTATACATATAAATATTTCTAGGGCTTAGAATTAAAATTTAATATTTAAAAAATAGAATGAGATCAATATGTCATATAATATAAAACAACATAATTGATAAATGTAATATCTGAAATTAAATATTTTTAGAAAAAATAAATATAATTAACTATTGTATTAGCAAAACATATTGATAAAATTGTTAGATTATGCATAATCGGAATTCTAAGTATTTTTTCTTCGTCAAGGATTTTGAGATGCTGTGGACGGGGAACCATGGTTTTTTCTTGATAAACCCTTCTTGTTGCAAAAATGATCGATCTCCTCTCTTTACTCTTAAGAGGGACTATTTTGCCTCTATTTCCCTTTGGTTCAAAATTCACGCTATGCTTCTTTCATGTTGGAATCTGGTTGGTATCTCTAAAATCACGAGCTATACTAGTATCCCTCTTACATTTGACAAACTCACTTGTGATAAAACTGGTCTTACGTTTG